AGGGGCTGCAGGGAGTGGGGCTGGGTGGTGGGATGCAGCCGTGCAGGGGGGGCTGGGGGGCCGTGGTGCCGCCACTCACGCTGAACTCGAAGCTGTAGACCTTGACCATCCACAGGGGCCCGAAGCTCTCGGCGAGGGAGGAGGCCTCGTTGCTGCAGCGCGGGCACAAGGGAAGCCATAGGGCCTCGCTGCCCTGCCGCAGGGGCACTCCCACCCTCCACGCCCGCCCATGGGTGCTGGCCTATTTGAATTAAACAGGCCGTGGGCCTAGCCCACCAAAAATCGGGGGCCGCCACTGGTTGGGCGGCTGCCCCATGGGTGCTGAGCTGGCGCCGGGGATGCCTCTGGCGCTGCAGCCACTGGGGCTACGTAGGTCTGTCCTGCTGCTGCGGTGAAGGGTAGTTCACCACCCGGCAGGGCCAGCTGGGGTCGTCCCCATCCCACTTGCACCCGCGGGGGCTGCTCAGGGCATGAGTCCAGGCCTCTCCATCCCTCGCGCCTGCCCCAGCTCAGCCCGGGGCTTGCACGGCCGTCCTGCTCCCTGCCACGGGTCCGGGGCTCCCCAGCTCTGGCCCCTGGGGCTGCCCGCACACCGCTACGGGCCAGGAGCCGCTGCGCTGCCCGGTGCTGACCCCCTGCGCAGCCGCTGACCTGGATTCCACTGGCCTGGGCACTGCGCACCCACGCCCCTTGGCACGGCTGACGGCCCAGACCCTCCAGGCTGGACCTGGCTGGGGCGTCCTGCCCTGCCCCTGGGGCATCCACGGGAGCCCTGGGAGCGCCCCAGGGCAGAGGGGCACCGTGCGGGCAGGCAGGAGGGTCAGTGCAGGGCAAGCAGTGGAGGCAGCTTGGGACGCTGGGCACAGCCTCGCCTGGCACTGTCATGATGTCGAGGGCAGGAGCCGGGGCTCTGTGGGCCGGATGCCCCACGCCCAGGGGAGCAGGGCCGCCCCACGGCCAGACCCGCACCGCGGACACCCAGGGCCGGGAGAAGACCCTGCAGCTGCTTTGGGGGCACCGCCGTCTCTCCAGCTTCAGGGCCCTTGTGAATCTCTGGGTCTGGGGGACCCCCTGCTTCCCGCCCGCCTGGCTGAGCCGGACCCCAGGGCGCACGCACCAGGCCAGGAGAACACAGGTGTACATGATGGCAGCGCCCAGCACGGCGACCGTGGTGTCCTCGGCCTGCCCGTCCCTGCCGGCGCTGGGCGGGTGGGTGGTGAGGTTCTGCCCCCGGCACAGCCCTGCAGAGCGGGGAGAGGCGAGCGGGC